TAACACTAACAATAGGATCAACGGAGTTAGGCTGAGCTTCTGTTTAAGTACTGAACTTTTGTACATAATTAATCCTCAAAAACTCTTTTTCTCACATAGCACTGAATTGCTTAACCTTGATCAAAAAGAAATCAACACATTCACGTTTTCATTTTCTTTGGGTAAATACCCAGTAGTGGAATTACTGGATCATATGGTACTTCTATTTTTAATTTTTTGAGGAACCTCCATAGGACTGTTTTCTACAGTGGCTACACCAGTTAGCATTTCCAAAGAAAACAAAAACACTAATTTTTTTTAAAGGATTTTATTTATTCATTTGAGACAGAGAGATACAGAGAAAGACAGCATGAGCAGGGGAGAGGCAGAGGGAGAAGCAGTCTCCCTGCCGAGCCAGGAGCCAGACGTGGGGTTCGCTCCCAGGACCCTGGGATCATGACCCGAGCCGAAGGCAGACGTTTAACCATCTGAGCCATCCAGGCACCCCCAAAAACACTAATTTGAAAAGACATATGCCCCCCTATGATTATTGCAGCATTATTTACAAAAGCCAAATTATGGAAGCAACTCAAGTGTCCATCCATAAATGAATGGATAAAGAAGATATATATATATATCTAACAAAATATTACTCAGCCATTAAAAAAAATGAGATTCTTGCCATTTGCAACATGGACAGACCTAGAGGGTATACTGCTAAGTAAAATCTGTCAGAGAAAGACAAATACCATATGATTTCATTCACGTGGAATTTAAGAAACACAACAAATGAACAAAGAAAAAGAGAAACAAACCAAAACACAGACTCATAAATTCAGAGAACAGCTGGTGGTTGCCAGAGGGGTGGTGGGTGGGGGATGGGTGAAAGAGATAAAGGGGATTAAGAGTACACTTACACTTATGGTGATGAGCACCGAGTAACATGAGCATGGAGTAACATATAGAGTAGGAAAGTGGGTGATGGAAGGAATCAACACAGAAAGTACCAAATCATAGTATCGGGCACACAGTAGGCATTCAACAAACACTGGTTCCTGCTTCCCCACTCTCTTGTTCTCCTCTGGTACCACCCCCCAACCTCCTTTGAGATGACTAGTTTCCATGTTTGTCTCTCTTATGGTGTATCTGTATTTCTTCTTATTTGGCCCCACATGTCAGATTGGCTTGCATTACTACAGCCTGAATCATTTGATTTCCTGTCCATGTTCCTAACCTTTCCAGTTCCTTTTGTATCATTTCTCTGTCATTCCTGCTGTTTACAATACCTCTCAATTTAAAGCCATCTGCAAATCTCATCAACAAACCACTGACTCCTTCTCCCCCACAGTCACAGGACATGTTGAATAAAAACAAGACCTAACACCGATCTTCTTCCTTCCATTTGAGGCACCACCACTCTGGATTACTTAAAATTGTAACCATTTTAAAATACGATTACATTATTATTACACGTTACTCCCAGTCTAGGCAAATATGTGAACATCAGGATTAATCATTTTTTTAAATTTACTATTCACTGTATAAAAAATTTAATTATGAATCCCCTTAGTCATCTTCCCTAGCCTACTTAAAATATCCTTTTGCTTACAAAAAGAAAAAAAAATCAGTCAACTTTTCAAGGCTACTTACAGCTTTGACTATAGGTATTTAGTGTCCTTTAGCCATTTCAGTCTATAAAAAATTGTTTCTTCATAGAGTTTTAAGAGTAAAATTTAAGTTCTTCCATTTTAATAGTAAGCTTCTGAGGAACCCACCAGTTTTCTCACTGCTGATTCACTGGATCTTGGCTTCAACTTTTCTCACTCTTTTTCCTGATATACTCGAAATGTTTTCAAATTCTATCTATTCTTCCTTCCTCAAAAACTTTTTGCGCTCCTTCTAGGTTCCAAGCGCTGTGCTAAGGTACAATAAAGAAAAGAGTCTTCATCCTCCAGGAGCTCTTAATCCAGGAAAGCACATGAAAGGAAATAACACTTGGGCAACTGCATGGTCTGGATGTGCAACATTATCCCATTTAGACCACATGGAAACCCCATCTTACAGCTAAGAAAACAGGGCTTCAGGGAAGTTCAATAATTTGCTTTTTATGCAGAGGATGAATAGACAACTCACAGGAGAAGTACAAATGGACTATAGACATATGGGGAAATACTCAACTTTACTAGTTATCAAAGAAATACATGTTAAATAGATAAACAGGTTATTTTTTACCTCTCACGTGGTGAAGGCAGAGAGAACCGTGGAAACCGGCGAGGTTGCAAGAATGCAGGTTCCCCTACCTGGGGTGGCACAGAAGATGAAGTGGTGCAGGCTTCCTGAGAAACAATTTGATAATATGTAACAAGGACCGTTAACAGAGGAATTTACCTTCACCTCCATCACCAGGGAATGAAATAAACAGTGCTCCATCCACACAATGAAATTGCACACAGCCTTTAAAAATTGTATAGAATATGGAATGACCTACAAGATTTTCTGACTATTAAATGAGAAAGCATATTACAGAATGGTACATACTATGGGATTACAATATATACAGGATTGTGTATGTGTGTGTATAGACAACAGAAGACTGAAAAAACAGATGCCAATATGTTAACACAGGTTATTCATAAGAGGTGGGGTTTTGGGGGTAGCCTTTAAATTTTAATAATTAAAAAACAAACAAACAAACAAACTCGGGACGCCTGGGTAGCTCAGTAGGTTAAGCATCTGCCTTCGGCTCAGGTCATGATCTTAGGGTCCTAGGATCGAGCCCTGCATTGGGCTCCTTGCTCAGTGGGAAGCCTGCTTCTCCCTCTGCCTGCCGCTCCCCCTGCTTGTGCTCTCTCTCTGACAAATACATACTTAAAAAACAAAAACCCACATAAAACTGTTCATACGCTCAGATCCTGTTATTCCACTGCATTCCCATAAACGGCAACGCAGGCTAAGAATCAAATAACTTGCTCAAAATCACCAATTGGTATATTGTGTTAAGCTGGGCTTTCTAACTCTTAACATCCATTGTCTTTCTACATTCCCTCCAGCTTCATCCCCCAAGCCCCAGTGACATCATTTCTAGAGTTTCTTTCTCTTGGGTTCTTTTTCCTCCTCATTTCTGGTGGTTGCCAGAGGGGTGGTGGGTGGGGGATGGGTGAAAGAGATAAAGGGGATTAAGAGTACACCTACTATATCCCTTCACACTTTTTTCTAACCTTACTGACCTGTTTTAGCAGTAGTCACCCTGTGAATTGGCTGTTATATGTAATACAAACTAAATCATGTTCACTAAATGAAAAAGGCGATTTCCCCCCTCCTGGAGAAAACTGGGACACATATCAGAAGAGGCACAAGCTGAGAGTCTTCAGATAAGTCGGTTAGCTTTATGCATTTAACTTAAACTGAAATCTCTTTGGTCTTAACTGTGATATTTGGACAATGTCATACTTTCTTCTATACCAAAAGATTTCCTTTTTCAAAATGTGAATTAAAAGCACCACCTTCCCCAAAGTAGGATCTGAGGAACCAATCCTTCATTGTATTTATAAATGTTCAATTTCTCCTTTTGTTTTCACTTGCTTCCTCAAAAAGTAGGATAATTAGAATAGCCTCTGTCTCGCTGGGAAAAGAACAACTTTTGGAGCCTCAAGTTGCTTAGAAGTGTCTTCGATACTTCGATACTGTCTTCATGTCTTCACCACAGATGTCTCACGCAATCCGGGAGGCTGACCAATGTACCTGGAGAAATGAAGCATGGTTTCTCATTCTTTCTCCTGAAGCTCTTGTCTGACCAAGAAGGGACTAGTTTCTCCTTTCTCTACACCTAGGAACTTAATGACAAGATGCTTCTGAGTAAGACCAATCCTTATATTCCTCCCCAACGCCTTCCTTCTTGTTGTCATATGTGCGTGTCTCAAACATATTCTGCCACACTTAGTGATCTTACTGGTTCCCTTTTATCTCAGTGTTTCTCCTATGAAGATGCGCTTAGGAAAAGATCCCAACATGGTGAAACTTTACCAGTTTTCCTACAGATAGCTGCTATTAGTGGCAAAGGAAAAAGAGAGCATGGTTTACGTCATAGCCTACCATCCACTGAAGGCCATCATACTAACAGTCCCCAAACAACCCTAGACCAAAGCCAAACCTCTGAGCTGAGCAATTAAGAAGCAAAATTTCTGGAGATCTTTGTTGTGTGGTTCTCAGCTTTAGAGCTCCAAATAGTTCTCGTTCCTCCATTATTCCACAGGAGCAACTCTTCTTTCCTGCTCTCTTGCAGAAAGCATTACTAACCACCTCAATGTACCCAGGAACCTTCCACCTAGAACCTAAAGTTCATATGCAGTTAAGATTTGTGTTCTTCGGGGATAGAAGTATCAACAATCATGTAGCCAGCTTTTCATGTGAGAGAAATACTTACATAGCTGACACCTCTATTTGGAAGATCGACACATTTTACTATATGTAAGTTATACTCAATTAAAAAAAAATTAATTCTACTAACAAAGACACTCACCCCTCAGGGAAGCTGCCCTTACTTGACTAAAGTTCTAACAGGGTTCTCTATACCCATATATCCTACCCCATTTATAAAGGGAGGGGCAGCAAAGAAACCTGAATATCTTCCCCCTCACACGTACCCCAGCCCCTCACCAAAACTGCATTTTTCCTCAGTGTATGTCTTCCATTCAGTTACATGGAACATCACTGGACTGTATAGGTGGGCAAAAGGGAAAATTTAAGAGAAACTTATAGGGCCAAAGGGATGAGCTAAAATCGTGTGAGCTGAGTCATTTGCATACCGGTGGCTGAGCAAGCAGCCTCGAACCTGCCTCAGGATGGGGTAAAAAGAGCACAAGGGATCTCAACTCATCACAGAAAGAATAAACATTTTATAAAGAACAGCCTCCTACTGAGTTCACTCCCAGCACTGAATAACCACTTTCAACCACTCAAATATTCTTTCCAATGAAAATATTTACCTCAAGGAATAAATAACCTTAAATGAGAAATAAACATTCAGGCAATTTGAGATTTTATTGTGAAAATAGCTATTTTGACATTATATCCAGTTTCTTATTTATCAGAATAAGTTCTTTACAACATTGATCATCATTACCACTTCCGGGTATTTATACATAATCTCTGAGTAAAATATATTCACACTAGGCATGACTAGAATATTTAAATAATGACCAACATTGCTTATTTTAAGATGTTTACTTTACAACAAAACTATAGTATTTGTATACCAGTACAGATGTTTAAAATATTTACCAAAGATAGGCTTGGTGGAACAAAACCAGTATGTGTACACAGGTATTTCTTAATCTTCTTTGCTGTCATTCTTCTAGAAAGCCAAAGTTACATTAGAAACACCTCAAATTTCCATTTCAAGCTGAACAGAAAAATGGAAACATGTTATTTCCTATTATACAAACTAAAACATCGCGTCAAAAGCGGAATAAAGCTCATCTTTATGCAATTAACATAAAAGCCTGGGTACAGCCTTCCTGCTCTGAGAGACACCAGCACTGCAAGAGAAGCAGCCTGCAGTCCAAAGAACGAGTGGTCAGCACAACCCTCTCTATAGTGCATGACTTGCTGAGGACTGATGCAAACTCTAGCAAGTCATTTTTCTTGATTTCCAAGAATCTGGGATACGTAAAGTAAACGATGAAAAGGCATTTCTCTGAATCTGCACGAGGAAAACTAAAGAATCTGAACAAAGATCCAACTGCTCTTCACATGGCTGGATGTTCACCATTACACAACTCAAGGCCAAAGGCAAGCTTTCTATCAAATATACATCCAAAGTGTGAAGCTCCAAATATGCCACCGTACACACCGCAGAGAAGAGACAAAGGGCATTCTTACACCTGATTAGGGATCCAGTTTCATACTTTGAAATGAAATCAAATACACATAGTCCCCTGAAATTTGGAGGTCTAGTCATGTTTAAATTTTTTAGGATGTAGAAACCACTAGAATTTAATGAAAACCGTAAACCCTCATCCGAGAAAATCTACACACAAACATACAATCCTTGTTTAGAACATGGCTTCAGTACTAGAATAGAACTTGAAAATATTAAATTTCTTTTGCTTTGTCACTGAAGCAACTGTAAACTTTCTACAACAGTGTGTGTCTATATACACATATATATGTATGTATATTTATACATGTATAAAATAAGCAGCTTATATGTGACTTTAATCCCCTCACCTTTCTGGCCCTTTTAAAGCACAGCCAAAAATGATTTGCAAATTTGTTCTGGAATTCCAAGTTGGCTCCCTCTGTCTCGGAGACGCCTAAAAGCTGCTGAGTTCTCTGTACGGCTATTCCAAGCCAGCTGGGATTCTAGGGCAAGGGGCTGGGGACTGGGACTGACCAGGGGCCTCACATGTGCCCGAATAACCAAACTGTTTAAACCCACGCACCGCCCCCACTGCATGCTACAAGGAAGTCCTAACCCATCGTCCCATTTTTTTATCACCACCCACTAGAGGGGCACCTGACAACAGCAAACCTTTGTGAAATTAGCACCAACAAGCAAAAACACTCCAGGGCAGCATTTCCCTAAGTATATTCCTCAGAATACAAATCCCAGAAGATACCTACTTTAAAAAAAGAACAAAAACAAAAAAACCCCGAAACCAAATACAATAAATCAGGGAAATAGCGTCTACAATACAGGCCCTTCTCGGAGACTGAAACCACACAAAGGTTCAGAAAAGCCTATAGTAACTTAACTGAGCATTTCCCAAACTTATTTGGCCATAGAACCCTCTATTCACATAATAACAATATAATCTGCCAAACACACCTCCTTTCCAAGGAACTGAAAGATGGTTTTTAAAAAATCTTACAGTATAATTTCAAATTAATACAATCAGGATACAAAAAGACTTGTTTTCCTGTCATTTTTTTTTAAAGAAACTACTTTGTTTTGCTAAGAATATTCTTTTATCATAACATTCCCCCAGCTCAAAGTGACCCTTTCTTATATCATTATTCAAGAATGTTAATTCTCATTAGCAATCATGGGCCTCCTCATCTGGAACAAATAATTTCTGTATGCTTTTTGATTCTGAGAATACTTCTCCACCTCAATCGCAGTGGTTTTAAGTCTAGGGCTGGTAACCTGGGCTTCTAGCAAACACAACATCCCAACAAGATTTTGGGCTTCCTAGTAAACCCTAACTATATCCCAACAGGGGCTAAAATATTTTGCAAACCCTTAAAAAAACCCAAAACTTCATCTTTACTCTCTGTGAAAATCAGCCCTTTGAAGCTCTAATGACACTTCAGTTAAATCTTTGAGGGTAACAGCATTACAAACCTTTAGTTCATGTAATTAACAACAAATTTCTTAATAATCTATTTAAGAAATACGAAAACATTGAAGAGCAAATGTAAATTCCACAGAGCTGGACAAGAAAAAAAAAGGCAAAAGATAATTCTTAATGCCAACAACATATACAAAAGACCATAATCAAAACCCAAATTATACTCAGTGGCTCTGCTCAGGATTTCAATTATATAAATAACCAAACCAAGACAAAGTCAATTACTAAATCCCTATGAGCTTAGAACAAAAAACAGATACATGCTGCACTTTCTTCATTAAAGCGCAGTCCTAGCGTACGTCTTGACACACTGTATAATTAGAGAGAACACGGCAAAGCAAAGCACTACCACCACATGAAGACACAGAAGAACTTTTTTAAATGTATTTTATCCTAAAAAGTAAACCCAGGTACCATAGGAAGAAGATACTACTACAAATATAAAATCATAGGATATTTTATAGGGAAATGGAGTTCTTGGTTTTAGGTTGTTGTTTTTTCTTTTCTGGTAAGGCAAAACAAATCTTTAGATAATCATTCATTACAAACCTGAGGTGTTCTTTAACCTTAAGGAAGTAAATTATATTTAATTTATATTATGTATTTGGAATTGAATACTAAATACTATGTTTAAATCATTAGATTTAAATCATAGTTTATGTAGATAATGATAAATTTATTTTTTAAAACCCTTTTATTTTGAAATATAGACTCATAAGAAGTTCCAAAAATAATACAGAGACTGTATATCCATCACTCAGCTTCTTGTCTTTAAGTATTTATACTTTGGTTTTAAAGGGTTAACACTTTTGACAGTTTATGGAAAACTGTCAAAAAATCTAATAGGCCTGATGAATGTATGTTCTTGGAAGAGGCTCTAGGAAAACATACTGCTGACTTCAAAAACCACTTTTATCACATGAAGGCACCTTAAAAAATTGGTTTTCTGAGATTCTATCACTGTTACCAATTTCTGCCTCTTTTGAAAATTGTAACTTAGCTGTGATTGAAATAAGCTCCCTTATTCCTTCATGTTAAAATCTAGCAATATTAAAGGAATAGAAATTGCAAATGCAAATCAAAATGCTTTGGATTTATTGTAAAAATCTTGAATTCTCTAGTACCCCCAAAATAATACAAACATACCTAAGGTGAAATTTGTCAGTGCCAATCTTTGTAGGGGAAAAAACCACTGTGAAGGAATGACTCTTCTCAATGCTCTTTACAGTGTCTTTAGTGTTCAAAGAAATGGTCAGTCTTATGGATGACTGATGGCAGTTTGTTGATGGAGGATCTTTATCTTATGGGAATTATCTGACCGATTTTCTAATCTTATACTAGCAACAAACATAAACACAAACATAGTCCCTTTGGTCATATTCCACCATCACGTCCTAAAGAAAGTAGCTCACAGTATTTTGTTAAACACTGTGGACCATTTAGCTCAGAAACTCAAACTTTACCCAAAGCATATCCTGACAGGCTGATCACAAGCTCACTGCCCAATCTGGAAAGTTGTTCCTTTCTAAGAGCTTCCTAGCTGTGTGTCTCATCCCTGGAGTGCTTTATGCTCAGTTATAATTTCCTGGCATCTTGTTGGCTTATCCCAAAAATGCTCAACTAAGTAGCCCAACGTATAAACACTCACTTACCTAAATCACATTTTGCGTCTTAGGAAAGGTAGTCTGGAAACATCCTAGCCTATGTAGTGCAAGGCTAAAGGTAATTCAAAGCAGGAATGACCAAAAGGAAGTAAATCATATTTACAGCTGTCTTTTCTATAAAAAATGACAAATATGTTATTCTAAAATGCTATCTTTTGATTAAACTTTCAACACGTGAAACATTGCAGTACGCTTATTGGCTGAATTCTGTGTCATAAGAACACGATCTCTACATTCTTATAAAAATTTAAACACATTTTCCTTAGCATGGATATTAGTAGTTTTACTGACAGAAAACTTTACATAAGCCAGTATTATTTTTGTGCCCATGGAGAAACCTGGGAGTTAAATTTACCGTTTGATTTTAGAATCCGTTAGGGTTGGTATAGCTCCTTCTCCCCCATTTTTTATTTTTCCCAAAACTAATTTTAATTGTCCTGTTTTATTTATGTTTGACAATTTTAAGCCACTTCAAATGCTTCTTGGAAGGCTTAATATAAATCATAATTGAAAATGACCAACCCTAACTAAAGCATAAACAGATGTCTGATTAATGTGTTAACCACCCTTTTCCAATATATATCAATCCCAGAGGATGATAAAGTCCTATGGTCATGATTTTCAGTATAGAATATTCATACAGATTTTGGATTGCTGGAATCTAATAGAATATTAATACAAAACACACAAACCCATTGCAGACATAATGTGAAACTCATTAGTTACTTTCCCTAAATACATCCAAACAGATGAACAAGATTTTGAAGACTACCTGGTTTCTCATTTAATTAAAACTTCCAAGAAAAAATATTTACAATGGCTTAAAGACTCTTGCATCCACAGCTACCTAAATACAGAACAAATTGGGAGGATTTAGGTCAAACACATCTGAGCTCCACTGAGCTCAAATTAGGTGAGTCTCTTGACTACAAAGCTGTTTTCTTAACATGGGGGTTTCTGCATGACGTGATAAGATTTGCTGAGCACCATAGTAATCTTTTGAGACACTAATCAAAAACATGATCCTATATTTTAAAAACCCCAGAAGTGGTTTTAGGACAACAGAAGCACCTCAGCCACTAAAATTAGAGAGATTCTGTTATAAGTAAAATCACCTGCACAGCAAATCCTTTAACAGGTCGGCAACCAATAAATAGAAAATATTCTTTAAAAACTACTGCTATTTCCGAATATCCCATTAGATCCTTAAACTGTAGTTAAACTATATGGAAAATAATAAGTTGCCATAAAGCTTTTGACTATGTGACAGTCTTCTTAAGAAAGAACACTGGTCCAAGCATGGTGAACTTGGTCCAGGCACACAGTAGGTCCTTCTACTACCGAAGGCGAGCAGTGTCTGACAATTGGGCAAATTGCAATAAGACTTTACAGCCTGACATAATAAATGATGACCAACACACTCAGTTCTCCTGAAATTAATCCAAGAAAGAGAGGACTAGAGTTAAAAATGTACTACAAATACATAGGTCTAAAGCTGCCATTGGTCTGATAAACTAAAAGAGTCCTTGCTAGCCTTATATTGAACACATCAGCAAATACCAATGTTCTAGTGAAGTGCATATAGTCAGATGAATATTGTATGTAACCACCTTTGATACATATATATATCTCAGACATATATATATAGTACTGATCCCCCAAAAGATTACACTTCTGAGAGCATAATTAAGCACATTCCTCGTTGCTGTTTAAATACAGGCTTTTCTACTGAAGTAAATAGAATACTAGAATATTACATTTTTCCTAATGTCTAAAATTGGCGTCAAATTTCTAAACAGAAGAAAAAAGCCTCAAAGAGCCACATATTAGATATTCAAACTGTTCTAAGAAAACTAAATTAATAAATTAACTTGAATAAATAGGAGTGCACATTCAGAACAGAATTGTAGCTTTTGGTCAGCAACATGTGAACTAAAGGCAAAAATCTGCCAAGATTAAGGCAGGGTTTTTTTTGTTTTTTTTTTTGTTTTAAATATACAGTACAGTGTGGTTTTTTACCCCCAAGTTCATTTAGCATTCACTCTGATGTTATCTAAAGTGCATTGCCAAGCTAAAATACAAGCTTCCTAATTAAGAGAAACTAGATGTCATAGAAAGTTTCTTTTTAGAGCCTTCCTTATACCTACTAATGGCGTTTTCTTTTTGCCTTCACACATGTCGTGTAAGAGATGACTGCAACAATCATATGACTTTGGACACAAAGCGTGATGAGTGTCAGGGTGATAGCCGTTGTAAGGAATTACTTTCTTCTTCTGCTGGAGTCAATTTAAGTGTCGGCAGTTTCCGGGGAGGAAGTTGAGGGCTTTGGCGAAGATTGTCATCCATCTGTGGAATGTACAAAAGGTACATCTGACTAATGGCTGTGGCACCACTTATGTGGACGGTGGTCTCCCCGTCCAAACTACAGCCTAGAAGAGTACAGAACCCTATGGTTCCAGGACTGCTTGAGAAACCATTTTCTTACAAATAATCTCTCGGGAACGCGAAATGTTGTACCTCAAATACCAGCTAACTCGGTATATGTATAAAAGCAATATTGCTCATCTTTGATGCCTTCACAAATTATAGTAATTCCATACAATGAATATTCTACTGAACTCAACCAGATCACAACTTGATTTAAGAGGTCTTCCAATAGTAAGTGTAAAAGCAATACTTCTGACACACCGAGCTCCCCAGTGTAGAAATTATGTTTATGTACAATATTTCTTTTGATCTTCCCAACACGATTGTGAAGGCAAAATGGAAGATGATCACTCCCTATTTTGCATATTAGCAAAACGGAGCTCAGAAAGGTTAAGAAATTTGCATTAGGTTGCAAAGCTAGTATCATGAGTTGAAATTAGAGCCCAGGTCTTCTTATTCCAATACTATTGTTCTTTCAATTAGACCTCAGTGCCTCAGTGAAAATGACCTTCACTCCCCTCAGGAGGACATTAGCATCCCTGGAAACACTAGGAGAGGGATTATTTAGAACCCGAGTCAGACCTTAGGAAGCTACCTTTAAGCAGGGGGCCCACAAAGAGAGTGCAAAGTTCATAGCCTGGTGTTGAGCTCTCGGTCAGCTCAACTTCAGGAGACTTGAAAGCAGCCACCACCAAGGACACCAAACCAACAGCATATAGCATCTGATTACCCACTTTAAAAGTAGGCTTTTCTAGAGTTTTGAGCATGCGCAGAGCAAAACTCTCTCTTATCTTCTCCACATACTCTTATATAGCACAGAGGAAATGTCTCAGCAGAGATACATGCAACTTACAGGAAAGCAAAGGGAATAAAAGATTAACTTTTAATTTTCCAATGGAAAAAAGTATTCCCAGCGAACGACTTGAATCAGTTGTGTTGTCATGCTTTTTTCTTGCAAGAACTAAGCTCCTCAAATATTACTCTTTCTTTTTTTAAGCTCTAGATTTTCTGTCCAAATGGTGAACTGTAGTAGCCAATAGCATTTGTTGCTCTAACATCTTATAGCCAACAGTGAACCATACTGAAGAGCAGATATGAAACAGGGGTGGAAAGGAGAGTGCCCGGTTTAGAGTTAGGGAACTTTCGTATATTGATGATGACCCAAGGTGGAAGTGTACAAAGTGGTCACAGGGCGTCTTGGGTGCGCTTTCTGCACAGGCAGGTATCTCGTGGTTCCCTCTACATGGCTGTCATGAATTTGCCACACAGAGAAAATGAAAACTCTACTGGATGGCCCTCATCTAGCAGTTAAGTGTCTAAAACAATCCGAATAATCTTTCCACTACCTACACTTAACACTCAATATATTTCCTCTCAAGGGATTGACTGAGTTGGGCTAAGAAGATAAACTTGGCGTGCAGTCAGCCCACCTAAACTTCAGTACTGGTCTTTTACAGCTTTACTGCTCGGTCCTACTCACTTCTCATGTTCTAACAATACATGAAATACTATAACAAGGAACAGAACGGACATTACAGAGAGTGGCAGAGGTTTCTAGCTACTAGTACTACTAGTGCTGGATTCAGAATTCCATGTATTTCCTTCATTTGCAGCTGACTATCTGCAGAGCCCATGCTGGAATCCAGTCTCCAGGGTTCCAATCCCCTCTCTGCCCCTAAGCCCCCTGAACGACCCTGGGTAGGGGACATACACTACTCTTGAAGCTTCAGTGTCCTCATCTGTCAAACAGGGCTGATAGAGTAGCTGTGCACCAGGCTATTGTGAGGATCCAATGAGACAACTCATAAAGCTCACACAACACGGTGCCAGTTACTGAGACCTCGGAAACTGCGAACCAGTATTATTAGGCGACAGTGCCTCATTAGTTAGTGAAAGAATGAAGTATCATTCACTGGTATAAGAAAAAAAGCAAGTTTATCAGACACTTGGGGGAAAAATGCCTAACTCTCTTGTATTTTTTCAATTAGAATCACCTTGAAAATTTCCATTACTGGCTATCTCCCCTACCTACTTCCTCAATCTCTCTCTCTCATCAAATAAGCAACCCCAAAGTGGCAAAATAACCCCACTGATGAAAAACCATAGGCAACATTTAGAACAGAGAAGGTAAGGAAGGAGAAAAAATAACACAGTTTAAGTAGAAGAAAGAAAAAGACATCATAGTGCTAATAAGAAAGGACAAGCACAAGTGCTATGATCTCAAGACATGTTACCCTTCTGAGACAGAAACAGACAAGCAAGAAGTGTTCCGATTTTGTCTTCTTTTTTTCAGGCCAGACTTTTGAGTCTCCTAATTTGAAAAATTACTAATTATGTGGTAAAAGTAAACCCAATACCACTATCAAAGTAATCAGGCCACTACTGGCTTTGAAACACTATATTATGTACAACTTTAATAAATGTATATTTGAGCAGCTTAATGAAAAAATAAGCTCTTAAAAAAGGCTAAGAGGGTAAAGTTAATGCATATTAACTTTATAATTAAAGGTATAATATTAATTTCAGAAAGGAAAATACTAAACTACTATAAAATAATGATTGAAATAAACTTGACCTTTTCAATCAAGTTGGATTCCTTATTTACAAGTTGTGTGAGTTTCTGCAGATTTGCGTCTACCGTTTCTTGTCCAGCAGGAGAGATGCCTAAGAAGCCAGGACAGAAATCAGAAAGACAGAAAATTTTGAAAGTCTTTAAAGCTGTTTAGACTGAAAGAATTTTGAGTCTATCCACCCTCCCAAGTACGCCGCCCACCAAAAATAAATAAATAAAACCAGGCAAAGTGAAAAACCATTATCGGTTCAAAGGCAAAGTTAAGAGGGATAGTAATGCTCCAAAACCAAACCCTAAACCAAAAGACTAAATTTGTTTATTAAGCAGACAGCCAAGTGTTACACAGTTGGCCAAAGTAATTAGTAAAAGAGCACAGCAGTCCTCATTTCCTTCTCCAATTTGAGTTGTTCCTTCTCCCCACTCATATCAAATAAGCCCTTAGTCACAACGACTTGGGATAACTTTCTAAGGCAGCGACTCCCAAACAGCTATCAACCAGGCATCCACAGTATTTGGAGGGACTTAAAAAATACAGATCTCCATCCCTATGAGATTCTAATTCAGTAAACTGGACAGCGGAGCCAAGATTCTGTATTCGTCCTCTAGCCAGGTTTGCTAATCACTGTTCCAGAGTGACAAGGCTGCAAGTTACTTAGTTTCATGACTCTCAAACTGCTAACCCCTCTTTCTCTAAAACACATAGTCCACCCTGAAAAATAAACTGTCCCTAAACCAGTTATCCTTGTAACTTCTGTTCCTTAAAAGGACAATTTCTGCCAACTCTCCCAATACAGCTTTCGTATCCCGATCGCTTAAGCACAAGGCCCCACACTCCCAAGGAATCATATCCTAAGTAACGGGTACCCTCTATTTACAATACCTCCAGTCTGATGCAATCAGTTTTCAAGTAGTGGAATCATGGGAGTGTACCTCACCCAAATCAATCTGCTGCTGATTTCTGTTCATGCAGGAAAATGCTAGAAGCAACATTTAAAATAATTGCCCATTTGCATTAGGATAAATGCTATCTTTCAACAGGGACTCAATAAATACCTGTGGTTAACTTTTAGAAGAAAATGATCCACTTTAAAGGGGCAATATTTAAAGAAGAACAAGAGGAAAGAAACGTATAAAATCTAGAAGAATAGACAAAAGGCAAATATCTATTTCTCCGTTTAAAGTAGAACACATGGGAATAAATTTGGAGAAATGCAACTGTTTCAAGTGCTATAATTCAACATTTAAAGATAATACACAAATTTATTCAATAAGTCATTAATTTTGCTTACACGTCCATAGGAGGATATGCAGATATTCTATGCAAACACAGATTAGCTGAAGAGAAGCCAGCTCACCTCCAAGACTAAGCCTAAAATAACTGTTCAGGATGTCATCACAAAAGCGGCACAGGTTGGAGAGCTGTTTCAAATGTTCTTGTAACTGAACTTTAGGAAAGCGTACTTTATAAAGAGGTGCGAGGAAACCAAACACATATGCATCCAAGGTAGATGGCCTAAAAATAAATTAAGGATTTTTTAAAAACACATAAGAAAATATTAACTTGGGATCATGTTAAAAATATTTTTTCTCAAATACATTTGCCAATTCTGGAGTATATGATATAGCCTTTTAAAAGGTTTACTACACACTTTAGCTTATAAAAATGATGTAATGAAGGTTTTATTCAGTAGTTTTTTTTTATATTCTAACCATTTATTTTATTTAGAAGAAAAGTTATACATTAAAGATGCATTTTTACTCACGAGTGTTACATACAGATAGGAGACAGGGTGGGAATAGCCTTAGATATTTTAAATTCACACAGACAGCATACTGAGTCAATGTTTGATTACCATGGACAGAAAAAGTTTACTAGAGTAATCCATTAAATCTTTTTTTTTTTTTAAGTAAAAAACTCATAAAAGGGGGGGCAAGAGGACTTGCTTTAGGTTACTGTTCATTGACTATATGCATACAAAACATCAAAATGATTTGTAAGGGAATGCACTCACGTATCTCCAAAGAAAAACTGAGATGTTCCCAATCTGTTTGACAGAAGATTTAGGCACTCCTTGGCATCTCTGTATATCTAATAAGGATGAAATTACAACTCAAAAGTAGGAAGGATGCTCTAGAACTCCTTTTAGGCAGGCATTTAGGTATGTTCATCTCTGCTGTCTCTCTTGTCCCTCCTCTGGAGGGCCCTTGCTTTGAAAGTAATCCCAACCATACCTGAGCTTCCACTTCTCGGAGGTGGTAAAGGGGAGGCTCTCCTCTGGTCAGAAGAATTCTATTTAGTGCTCCTTTAGATATCCTTCCAGGCAGGATCAAACTCAAGGGAAAAGGAATTCGTGAAGCAAACCATGGCTTTGTCACACTAAAGTAATTGTCACTCTCAACCCAGAATGTGTGAAGCTGCAAAACAAACAAAAACAACTAAAATCCAAACCAAACCAAACAAAAACAAACAAAAAACCCAAAATCAAACCCACAACAAGCATGTTCTTTTATTAAAAGAAAGGTCATCCAATCAATGTGAAAGTTTTTTTATCAATATCTTTGTATAAAGTGGCTTCATACAACTTTCCCAATTAGAATGACTCAAGAATAAAACAAGATTTTAAATACATGAATTTGCTGATTGCTATATCCCAGGCACCCAAAACAAGGCCTGGCACATATGCACTCAATAAATATTTATCGAATGAATGAATTAGAGTTAGCTAAATTCTATACATGGGAGCAACAAACTCCATCTTCCATAAATAATTTTTATTTCCAAAATGACATTATCTTTCACTTCATTGTTTCATGTCTTAGTTGAATGTCTAACAATCCAGTTTCACAGTAACATAAAAGAATCAAGATTAATACATAAATGAAATTTCCTCTCTTAAGCCTTTTTCATTATGTTCCTTCTAAACAGACTGAAGTATATTTTTTGTAGGTCACTACAATGCCAATGCTCACCACTGCAGGAAGAAGCTTCTCTTCGATGAGAGCAATGTAAGCCAGTGTATCTGCCCCCTGTTTTGCTGAGAGTTCATAATCAGCATTATATTTCTATTAAAAAATATAAAACCAAGAAACTTGAGAAGTCAAGGGCATCCCAAAACAGTCAGGCTAAATAAATTAAGATTCCTATTCTTCCTCAAAAATGGCAAATATGATTATTAAAAAGCAGAATGATACATACAAATTCAGTGACAAATGCTGCTTAATGCAAATAAAGCTCTTAGCACAACATCACACACACAGTAAGGTCAATAAATATTGTGCTTTTTTTGTTAATTGCTATTATTCAGTGATTGTTTATGAGCTAGTTTAGTTTAGTGCATGGCATATAGTACAAACTTAATAAATAGAAGTTACTATTTTTAACAATAAGGAAGAAGTTCTAATTGGTTGCATTTTTCCCCATAAGAAAGAAAAACCCCCAATTTAAAACAGTTCTAAATTTTGTTGACAGAGGACTTATTTTTTTAAGAAAAGTATTGCCAAAACCAATTATAACTTTGGTATTTATAGAAGTCTTTACATGTTTAAATATTCTGGATACATTATACAAATCTTTACATGCTCACACATTTTAGATACATTACTTCATGAAACATTTAATTGCAACTCTCCAGTTAAGTGTTCTTTAAAAATAAAATAGTTGCTAGTTGGTGGGAACTCAGATGTCATCTGCAGCACAAAGTGTGTAGCAGCTTTGTGACTAAGTTGACAATCATATCAATAAGCATAAGAGTGAAGATGGCTTCGTTGAATCTGCTTATGTCTAAACTTCAATCAAATCCAAAAAAATACATGAAAGTATAAATTGGGTATACCTCACTATATGACTCTCAAATCACAATACAACTCATGAGTCAGAGCAGCAATTCTCAAGTCTAGTTTTATATCAAACCTAAGGTATCTCCAATTATCTGATTTGGTTTAAAAAAAAGAATTAAAAAAAAAAACTTTACAATGTTTTTGTTTCTGTTGTTTTTAAGTAACATGCAGGGAACATGTTAAAAAAGGAACCACCCACCTGTTTTCTTAAAAAGTTTAGTATTTTTGCAGGCTGAGAAACGATGTTGTCTTCCGTTGTCAAAATTGGTACATCTCCTATAATCAAAAAGTTTACATACTAGGAAACGTTTCTATTTCCTCTGAAGAGATTCCGACCCCCTAAAAACTATACTAATTGCACATTTGGAGGGGGAAAATGAGTTAAGCTCATCTTAGTTTTTTGCAATTTCACAAAGCAGTTCTGGAGAACATTGTCATTTCTCGTAATTTCCATCGATCTGGCTTGTATTTTAAAGTATTACTCAGAATGATCAAACCGTAAGCAACATACAGCCAAGGTCATGGTAAGAAGAAACTAAAATCCCAAGGTACTCTATGGCTATATGCCTCACAGCTTTAAATTCGGGGGGGGGGGGTCACTTAAAAAAAGAGCAGAAAGGTGTATTAAATGTTTACACTGTACCTCTTGAACCTCTCCAGGTTTTATCTATGACATTGACTTTCAAGGGTGCACCAGAAAATTTGGCGTAAGCCTGAAACAAAGTTTGCAATAAAACATTTAGACTGAGTACGTACTGCAAATCTGCAGAGCAGCTTTACTTTACAGCCTGGTCCCCCTAAAGCAAAAATGCCTGACACGCGGGCTGTGTCCCCCTCCGGCTGTCTAGCCGAGGACCCGCGCGCCAGCTACCCATCTTTCGGGGACTTGTTTTTCCCAAAGGTCTGGGGGATGCAGAGCGGGGAGCGCGCGCACCCAGCTTTGGCTTCTCATTCCACCGCCCAAAAAGCTCTGCAAGGCCGAGAAGACTCGGAGCCCAGCCGAGGCCACAGGCCAGGCTGTGACTCCAGGAGAAGGAACCCAGTGCGGTGCAGCGAGAAGCGCCCCGGCCACTCCGGGCCCTGCAGCGCCGCAGGGAACCGCGGCGAGCGGCGGAGACCAGGCCCAGCCAGCCTCGCGCCTCTGGCCCCGCCCATCTTTTCTGCGCCCTGGCCCGCGAGGCGGCCTCACCATCACCACCAGGGACTCGCTGTGCACCGATGGGAGCCCCCAGCCACCTCCCCAGCAACTGAGTTCCAAGGGGGCCGCCATCTTGCCGGGGCCGACCTTTGCTACATCGGAAGTACTTATCTGCCCAATTTCCGGCACGTTGAAACACGGGGCGGGGCGAAGGGGAGGGAAGAGTGCCTTTGGACTGTGAAGAGATGTGGCAAGGATCGGTGGAGGGGTTAAAAGCCACTTACCTTGGCTAATTGAATTTAATTTTAAAAAATAATAAAATAAAATAAAAAGCCCACTGAGAATCAGCCTGGCCTAATCGTTAAGAGTCCTTGCCCTTAAGATACATCCTCCAGGTAGTCCTTAAATATTTATTGGATGCCTGGTGTCCTCCAAACCCTTTGAACGTTACTACCTTGGGCCTAAATTAGCCCATGTGCAAAATAGGCAGGATTATTGTGTTTGAAATTATGACACAGGGAGAAATAACTTGACATACAATAGGCACTCAATAATTGTTCAACCCCTTACCCCATACATTTGGCTTTTGCCTCTTTCCACTCTCAATCTTATGTCACCCTCATGTTCACTTGCTCCACTCTCCTTAAAAGTAACCCTATTACTGAAATTTGTCAAATGAATTCCTCCTTTCTTCAGTCTGGAGTATCTCCTTTCCCTTCCACTGCTCCCTCAAAAGTGAGATTAACTGTCACCTTCTCTGGGATGATTTTACAGAATTAGGAACTTCGGGATTCCTGCAGACCCTTGTACACACTTAAATTGTAGCTTCTATTCCATACAGATTTTTTACCTCTCACTGTACTGAAAACTCTCTAAAGACAGAACACGGCTGGCTTTGCAGATGTGAGACCTGTGTAGTCACACACGGCCCTGTGCATAGAAGGGCTCAGAATTGCCTTAATGTTCTGCTGCCATTGTCTTGAAATTCTTAACTTTTGAACAAGGGGGCTTCCATTTTTTTTTTTTCCTACTGGGCCCTACAGATTATACAGCCAGCCAGTCTGGGCATGAACCAAATGTTTTTGGACATCACACTGACAGTTTCTCAGAAAAACTGTTCTCAGAGAAACTGTCAAGGAGGGAAAATAGGCCTTCAGAGTGCCATGATCTTATCATGCTTACAGGGTCCTGGAGTTAGGACTTGGGTGCTGGGTCCTTCTAGAAGGTACAACAGTCTTTCTGGGATTTCTCTGAGTTCTTTCCTTAACTCTGCCACACTGAGGTAGTTGGGTCTCCTTAAACAACTGTAAGCTCAAAAGAAACCTCTGCAAATTTTCATAAAATTACAATTCAGCAAAGAATTGATAGGCATTCCCTAGGATTAGATGGTTTATATAGCCATCTAAATTACAACATTAATCTGCTAAAGCTTTTTTTTTTCATGTTTCAAAGGCAAGAGTTCTCAGAAATGAGAAGGATAAAGTATATCAAATGTGGGAATCCATTGATAATACTTTATAAATGAGAAATGCTTAATATATGTACCATTGAAGCCAAATATAAAAACATTCATTGAGCAACTACTGTATCCAAGACACTGTAAGGCTCTGGGAGAATATAGAGATGAATAAGACCTGAACTCTATCCTCAGGAGTTTATAGTCCACCAAGGAAACATACAACTAAGTGTAACAAGTCAGATTATCATGGGTAAAGTTAGAGACATAAATAAAATACCATGGAAGCACAAATCAGGAATGATGTGTCCTCTCTGGGATCAGCAGAGGCTGTCTGACTGTTCAATCTTCAGTGTAAAGAAAGTAATTCAACTTTCAGATTCAAGAAATAGGACCTCCCTGTTCTGAGGGTTAAAATCCTAAGCCATAAAGCTCAGAGTCCATATATTGCAATCAGGCATTTAAAGTAATCATATACAGCTTGGGGCGCCTGGGTGGCTCAGTCAGTTAAGCACCCGACTCTTGATTTTGGCTCAAGTCATGATCTCAGGGTCATGAGATTGAGTCCCACATCAAGCCCCGCATGGGGCTCTGCGCTCAGCATAGTCTGCTTGTCCCTCTCCCTCTGCTTTTCCCCCTGCTCGCTCACTTTCTTTCTCTCAAATAAATAAAATCTTTAAAATAATCATACACAGAGAATGTGGATTACCTGAGTCTTGTTTGCAGGGTGGAGGGGGGTGGTTAATGGATGCACATTTTTTGTGGACACATAATATAATTAGTCAGTTCAGCCTTCTCCCTTATTGCTGCTGTTACATATGACAATTTCATTTTCATTAAAGAGAAATTAAATCTTTCCTCTTAGCATTGAATTGAGACAGAAAATAGGCTATTGCATCTGATGAGAGAATCCTTAGACACAGGTTTATTTGTGTCTATTTAATAGCAATCTTTTATTGTTGCAATTCCTCCTGAGAGTCTGTATTTGCTAGATTGAATTTTAAAACCCTAGCACAGCTGATTGCACAACCAGGCTGAATGTTGTTCCAGAGAACCACACAGAAAGCTGAAACCTTCAGAAATTATGCCTGGTATGGATAGTTGGCCCCTGTGCCTTTTTTCTGGCTGCTAAAGTGTGTGTTGTTCAGAGTTCATCAAAATCATAATTTCAGATTCCTACCAGGAAGCATATTATCTGCAAAACATTCACATATGTGTGGGATGACTTGAATCACAGCTTTATAATGAGTATTCCAGACAATGTTTTCTCTTAAAAAGAAATATTATTTTTCAAGAGATGGACATTAAAAATGGCCTCATCTAGTGATAATCATGTGAACTCAGGGGACCTGACCTTGGCATCAATTTCTATCCCTCCTACGTTTCCTAACTTGAAAGCCATGGTGCAAGTTCTATTAGGATCTTTTTGTCTGGGTGATTGAGAATCTGTGAAATGGTACTGTCAACAAAGATGAAAGGTTTGTGACAAGTGATCGTGCAGTATGATAATTTGTAAGAAAGTTGAACTAAAGATGCTTGAATGTCCCTTTCAACTCTAAACTTCTATAATTTAGTTCCATGTTCAGATATAAAATCCTTGGGGAGGAAAAGCAAACACTGAATAGAAGTCAGAAAAGTTGGTTTCTGAGTTTGCCTCTAATTAACCATGAGACCTTGAGCCAATCATTTTACCTTTATTCCTCAACTCATTCACTTATGAAGTGAGGGTTCTTTTAGCTCTACGATACTATCATGCTATGTGTAATAAGCATTTAATACTAGTTAACATTCATGGAGCAATTTCTACATGTCAAAAACTGTCTTGTGTATCTGACATAACTCATTTGATCTTCATAATGACTCCATTAGGTAGGTACTGTTATGTTCCCCTGTTTTCAGGGAGGGAAATCAAGGCACAAAGATGTTAATTAACCTTCCCAAGCTCACCTAGCCAATAGATCATAGAAGTAGGATTTGAACCCAGGCCGTCTGGGCTTGTACTCTTAACCACTATGTCATACTGCTGGTAGCTTTCTAAGTAGTCCATTAAAAATCCTAGTTTCATTCAAAGTGAAGTTATCAATGCCATGATAGTACTATCATGACCTGTTTCAATAATATTTATTTAGTATTAAGGCATTAAATAAGTTCCTTAAGCAACTTCTGTCTAGCCAGCACACACTGCTGGGCTATCAGAGAATAAAAACTTAGGTTCATTGTTCATGATTTCAGAGAGATAGTTGACAAGGCCTATATATTTGAGGTAACTAGAGGTAATTAGGGGTACCATCTTGTCAAGAGACCACAAGTCTAATGTAGTTTTAGACAAAGGACCTTAATGTACTGCACTGTTTGGCAAAGGTCTAATGGAAGAAGTAGGACGTTAGCTGACCTTGCAGGAAGGCTGGGTACATTGGATTTAGATTGGCAAAGGGGAGGGATTCCACATGGGCTATGCTACATTAGTTAAGTCATAGAGATGGGAATGAATGTGGCGAAGAATCCTAAATAAATGGATGCTGAATTTGATAATAAGCTGGAGACTGATGAGGAAGACTGTTGACTGACTAACTTGAGAACCAGATTTGGTGATATTGGAAGGCATGGAGATATATAGTTTTGAGAAGGTAAAAAGGAAGAGTAAAAGTCTAAGTACAACATCAACAGATGCACATAGTCAGGAATGGGAGGTACATGGACACCATAGGAAGAAGGGTTTTGCGAACCCATCAATTGTATTAAATGAAACAAAATGTTGTGGAAAATGAAGTGAGGAGATGCTGGTGAATATTAGAAGAAAATCTCTGGCACCCTTGTACTGAACATTTTTTGTTGAATAGATTGTTAGAAGTCAAATTGCAAGGGATTGCTGAAGAACATGGTATTAGGAATAGGGACAAGTATAAGATCATGGGGCATGTGGCAGATAAAGGAAAGGAATGGGACAGGAGCAGAAGACTCAAGAAAAACATTTTGAAGGAGATGACAAGGTGAATCTACATATATATGAAGAAAAAAGTGGCTACTAGTGAGCAAAGTCTGAAGATGCCAGAGAGAAGAATGCCTAGTATCTTAATCCTAGGGTTCTCAGAATTACCCTAAGAGTTGAGAGGCAGAGATCAGGAGCATGAGAAGGGAAGCTGGCAGTGAAGATGAGAAAGGCTTTCTCTCTGACACTAAAGGAAGGTTCAAAGAGAGCATGGGATGCTGAGTTAGCCCAAACCAGTTACCTTCAAATTTCTCTGTTACATTAGAAAACAAATCAAAAGAGTCTGAGAGAGAGATTGGGGCTTTAAACAGAAAGGAACTAATTTAGAAAATGTACTGGGGAGTTAGTAAAAAGTGAATGGAGGGGCACCTGGGTGGCTCAGTCGGTTAAGTGACCAACTCATGATTTCAGCTCAGATCATGATCTCAGTCTTGAGATAGAACCCTGCATCTGCCTCTGTACTCAGCTCAGAGTTTACCTGGGATTCTTTCCATCTCCCTCTCCCTCCCCTTCTGTCCCTCCTCCCTCTCCCCCACTCATGCGCAAGCTGCATGCACATGTATGCACATGCTCACTCTCGCTCTCAAATAAATAATCTTTTTTAAAAAGTGAATGGAAGCATTGCTGACAGTGACAAAGTTCAAATTTAAATTAGTATGATGGAGACAAATCAAGTGAGAGCCATGGGCAGGCTAATAATTAGGTGCCCTTTCAATTATTCTTTAA